GTAGGAACATGCGGTTTGTTTTATATTAACAAGGTAGGACAGCTGATCAATAATACTGCAAAGAATTGTCAAAATACAACGGGGAAAGTTTATTAATTCGACTAATCCTGCAACATGGTTTCAGCATTTTATCGTTGTACGCTCTCCTTCTTTATACGCTCTTGCTATTATGTTATTGTAAAATCTGATGAAATTGGAACAATGGCAACAAATAACAATAAAAAAATATTTGTTTTTATTCAGTCCTGCTTGTATAGATATGTTCGTGTGAATGATCATAGAATGTTGCATCCTTTTGCAGGGGAGTGTAAGGACACAGGGATGATAGGCTCCTACCCCCGCATGCAGTGCTACTGTCGCTGGGGCTACTTCGGCAAGAAGTGTTCACGCGATTCCTCCATAATGGATTTAAACATCAATCCTGACAAGTACAGGATCTATGAACTCGGTCGCTGGATCACCGTATTCTGGAGGATATTAGCCAGAGACGCGTCTCGCAATAGAACGCAGGTATGACCGTGAGCAATTATCATTGCATGACGTATCTATATGTGTATAGAGCTACCTTCGTGGTTTGACTCATAGTGCATGTTGTCTTTTCCTTAATTTTATGGTATCAGGAGTAGGATGGCCGATGCTAACAGATTATTTACCCTTAGCTACTACCTACGACTACTTCCTACTATATAACTATATACCCATGTTTGCCTTACCATTATTGTATAAACTATGTTTTTTGTATTACTCGTATTGTATATACCCTTTTTCCTTATCGTATTATCCTTATTGTATATATACATTTTACCATTATGGTATTACCATTATGGCATTATCATTATTGTTTTACTCTTGACTGTATATATGTGGTAGCAAACATCTATCATAACGTACCCTGCCGACTGATTATGAAAGTTTCTGTAACGGTTGCATGCATGTTGTGCCCTCTGGCAATTCCGGCTGGAATTACTACCAAAGTGCCGAAACGTGTTTTGGATGAGGATAAGGCCATTGAATATAGGTTACGCATAAACTTATGTGCCCTCGGAAATGTCAGCGGGTCATTTTACTAAAACGTACTTCTCTGATGACCTTAAACATGCAGTAGGAAATGCATGCTATTGGTAATGATCAATGCACAACAGCTATTACTTTGAAAGGAGAATATAACCTGGTTTTTGCGCTTGCTAGTTTTGTACCCAATAGGCATACTACATTACTATATGAGTAGCGTACATGTAATTCACGATTTCTTTTAGGCAACTTATACTTTCTATATATTGGAGCATGTACAGATTGTTATTTACACGTATTCGACACATGCACGTGCACGCACAAACAATATATCTTGCATATTATATATAGTATTCGTGCGTTTCCTTGTGCGCAATATAGCACTTGATCAGACTGCTCCTTGCATCTGGCAATATATACGTGGCAGTGAGTTCACATCACACTGTTTGACGCATTTGATTCAACCCCACGTAGTATATGGTAATCGCTAGCGCAGCGCGCTTTGTGGTACTGTGCAAACACGCATCACTTCCGTGTTCTCGTATATGGCGGCGACAGCTGTTTCACTCTATCTCTCTCTATAGTAGTCTATACGGTCCACTTCACTCACGAGCCATGCAGCGAAAGCCGGTGCGATTGTAGAAACGCAGCAACGCAGTACGACTGATTCAGCGCTGTGTATACCTGTAGAGTCAATGTTCGGACTCGTGGCTGCGATCGAATGTTTCACTTTTTTTCTGTTTGCGAAGTCACTTGCTTAATTGTTGACGGTTCAATGAAACTTCTCCATTTATGTTCACTGATCGGTTGATGGCACAAATTCGAACAGAAGTCGATTCTCTCTTCCCTTCCATACTTGTTGTCCCTTGTTGTGGAATGACTACTATACACTGTTATTTCTATTATCCGTTTCCTAGAGAATATCGTTGAATGCTACATGTGAAATAGCAATGTGTGTTTGTCGTTGCCTAGCATACAGAAGTCGTTTCACAAAGTGTAACGTGGGCGAGTCATTGTAATATTAAGTTATAAAGTGACGTGTGCATCGTGAGTCTTTAGAAAGAAAATTAGTAGTGTGATAGTTTTATCGTTGACGCTATAATTGGTTGTTTAATTGTGTTTTATCGGCCTTCCCCGAATAACCATTTTAAAATCCTTTGAAAAGTGTAGGGATATTCTGTCGTGTGCATGATAACGGTATCAGGACAAATACCCCCCGGACAATCACCCCCGGACAAATACCCCCGGACAATTATCCCCCGGACAAATGAAATACCCCCGGACAATTACCCTCCGGACAATAATACATATGACACACACGCACGCACGGCCGCTAGCACCAGCGGCACGCGCACGATACGCATCACACACGGCTGGCGCGAGAGCACGTACACGGACGCAACGCATGCCACCACACACACCACACACAGACACACACACGTGCACGCACGCATCTCACAGTCACAGACACCAGCATACACGCACGCACGCCGCACGCACGCACGCACGCAGAGCGCACGCACGCGCACGCGACGCACCACACACACACAACACACAGCACGAGCAAGCAT